CAAAACTAGCCTTATTCATTGTAATAGATCTAGTTTTTTCGACATGCAATTTTATTGTGTTGTATCACTAGAGCAACTGACGCATATGACACATCTCGCGTCTATACTCTGGGTGGTCGAGATGCTTGAGCTTCCCAAGATCTCGACTTTCATGAGCAACGATCACGAAACTTTTATCTCCAGAAACGAACTGTACAGCGCTTTTGACCTCTCCTTTCTTCAATTTTTTGTATTCAAACGGAGATTCGGCTTGTTTGTATGTATGTCGAGAGACACTTTTTGGTATCATCTAGTTTGCTGATAGAAAGCTTTGAATCTGTGATTTTTCCATCTTCCTCAGCTATTTGTCCTCCGTTCAAATCTTCAAGCCGGTATCATCTGGAGATAAATGTACGGCAAAACAAGAAAGCTGGCGCAGGATTAGTTATTTACAAGTTCATTAAATACCGCTTCATGAGTTTCGTTCAGTACCGATGCAAATCTTTCTGAACAAATTTTGATACTGGACCTGTATTTTGAAAGTTTTCCTAGAAATTAGCTGTTGATCATAGGTGTCGTTTACCGACCTCGTAATTCCGGCAATGTGTCTCAAGTTACCAATTCACTGGTTGTTGATCGACCTGTGAGGTGTAAGAATGCGGTTCGTAGATACACAGACAAGCCTTCCGCGCATGTTGCAACGTTGCCTCTTGCTTTTTGATAGCTCTTCTCTGGATTGTCAGCAATTGACAGGCAGATTGCAGCAAACCAAAAGTTAGAATTCAACTCAAAAAAAATTCATAAATGAATCATTGATTTTAACAACCGCCTACTTATGTCACATATGAGGTTAAGAAAAACAGGCCTTATAACGATTGGCTCAAGCGTCAGGTACACTATCTCTTGTGCTTTTATACCTCATTCAGTCGGAGCGAATTCGGTTCGTGTAAGACATGGCACTACAAATCGTGTTACCGCTTCAAAGCCACTATCAAACCCCCCACTCTAGAATTAAGAACGCCCCATGGCTAGGTCTCTAAATACCTAAAACACGCGAACGCCATTAAAAACAGGGTCAGAAGCTCTAGTATACCTGTTAAAACGAAAAAAGATACAAGACTCTATTAAAACCCACCAGTTGATATGCTACAGTACTGCAAACATACACACCGAAAAAGGCATCGGGTTAACAAGAATACAGCAAAACGAGATCAACAATCTACCGCTCATTTCAATTAATTAACGACATCGCAATACAGCGTTATCGCATAGCACGTGAAGTACATCAAACGAAGCGTAAGTGCTTCGCGAAACTGATTCTAGCATAGCCGTGATTGGCCAATCAAAAGCACGTGAAGTACATCAAACGAAGCGTAAGCGCTTCGCGAAACTGATTCTAGCATAGCCGTGATTGGCCAATCAAATGAATAGATTACCAATGACTGAAATTGTCACAACGAACTGCGTGTTCAACAAGTTCAACCACAGATTAAAAGATACTGACTTTTCACAACAGCTCCGAACTAATATTATTGATAAAAACGCCGTAAAAACGTACAGAGAAAACGTGTAAACTAATTTCAAAGCACCAGATCTACAGAATAGAAGGTAGGACTGAACTGAGGGATGAAATAGCACAAATTTTTTTGCTAAAGGCTTACTGAAACACCAGTTTTAGTCAATATATCTGCGAGTTGATTCTTTGTGGATATACAACACTCTAACGTTTTCCTTCTCGATATTTTCACGTATAAGATGTATTTCTAAACGCAAACGCTTCTCCGTAACGTCGTTTTTCGACTTCAACTCCACTGACACGTCGTTGTTGTTAATAAAGCACAAAATTGGAATTCTATAATCAATACGTTGGTACAGGAGTTCTGTCAGTAATTGGCGAACAAAAATTGCTGTGTCTAGGCGGTATATGAGTGCCAGGTTTTCAGCAGCCAGTGTAGACTTGACAACCCGTCGGAGACGCTTTGATGACCAACTAAGAAGAGCGCAAACTCCCGAATTATCTGTAACAAATATTATGCAACCCCCTTGACTTCCTCCATTTTTCACATTGCCGAACGAAGCGTCTATGAAGCAAACGACTTGTAGAGTCTCAAGTTTCATAGTTGACGGAAATCTTATGTCAATATGCTCACATTTAGCATGCTTTATCATTTTGTTCAGCAAAGATAACGCATCAAGTGAATAATTATCACAACATGACGACAGGCCATTGAGTTGAAAAAACGTCTTAGTCGAAAAAAGACGTTACGGAGAAGCGTTTGCGTTTGGAATTACATCTTATATGTGAAAAAATCGAGAAGGAAAACGTTAGTGTTGTGGATGTCCACAAAGAATCAACTCGCAGATATATTGACTAAAACTGGTGCTTCAGTGATGTTTTACCGAGAAGCAGCGGTTTTTCCCGGTCAACAACTTCAGCTTCAATTTTACATTCCACTTCACCTATTTTCACAGGTAAAACTACTAATGCGAACGAATTAACAGGTGGAGCGTCACCAAAACGAAATGGAACCTCACTTTTCTAACAAATAACAGACTCTAAAGAAAACTGATTGGTAAAAACCGACAACCAACTGCTTCCGCAGCCAGTTTTTAAACATGCTGTGTCAATAATTGCTGCAAGATCTGCTTCTGCAAAGTACACTTCATATTGCTTGTCTAGCGGTACTTCATTCATCAGTATGATGTTGAAACTTTCATGTGCGTCGAAACCTTCGCCCTCTTCATTGTTACAACTCTTCGTAGTGTTAGATTCTGATAAATTAACACTTTGAGACCCATGTGGACAGCTTTTTGCATAGTGGAACGTTGAATCGCAAATTTTGCATCGGGTAACATAGCCATTAATAACGGGATTTCGACCATTCAGTTTCTTATGCTGGAAAATTCCTCGGTTGTTACCTCTAAAGGGAGGTTCGAAACAGCGGCCACGATAACCTGATATGCCACTTCCGGCAAACATAACTTCTTCTTTCACACAAGACAGATCGGGTCACGACTTGATCACTCGCAACGTGGTTGAATAATCAATTCAAGGCACTTTTCATTGATGAAAACGTTTGATATTTGCAAGCCGTGAGAGCCATTTTCTTGCTAGTTTCATCGAGTAAAGCATTGTCCAGGAGTTTAAACGCAAGAACCGCATCTGGAAATTCCATATTTTATTTTTTCGCGGTATTTTACTTCTGCTCAAAACCGAACACATACTCCATCGTACCATTGTTCTCTTGACGAGTGTACTTGCTGAAAATTGAATAAGCCAAATCAACCGAGTCTTTTTTGAATCACTTGTCAAGATCTTCTAGTAATATTTTCACTCCATCATCTCTATTGTAACGGATTTCATCATTTGACATAGCAGCTTCTCGAGCTGAACCAGTCAGCGCAAGAGCAACAGCTAATTCTCTCTTAGACGGCTGTAGATCTGTCAAAGTCTGCCACATGGAAGTTTCTGTTTTCCACACTTCATAGGACGATGCACTGCCCAACGCCTGTGGGTTTTTGAAGCCAGACATCGAGGATACCTCCTGCTACCAATGTTAAAACGATCAAAGATACAAGACTGTATTAAAACCCACCACCTGATATGCTACAGTACTGCAAACATACACACTGAAAAAGATATCGGGTTAGCAAGAATAGAACGAAACGAGATCAACATACCTTTTGTTTTTTAACCTAAAACTCTCCTTATCTCAACATAATCACAAAATGCACTCAAGAAAATTAAATTAGGTACTCACATAGTGACGCGACTCTAGAATTAAGTAAATGATAAGCAACTCTAGAAGTTTTCTGCAATAAGTAGTTTTAAACTAATAAGTTTAATCTTCTGAACCATTGGGCAGCTTCAGCTGTCCACCTTTCCGGTCAAGGTTCTCTCTCGCCAAACGACGATACTCTCGCAAGATTTCACGTTTCTCTCTATCAGGAACAAGACAGCTCTACTCAAGTTGTTGATTGCAGTTAAATTGCGAACAGCAATTTTACTCTTGACTGATTTTTATCGATTTTCCGGCAATTCTGATATTTTTCTTCTGATCAATTTAACTTCTGATTTTCAATTGTCGCGAGAAACTTGAGCATGACATGGTCGATTCGAATTTTTATAAAATTTCTTTCGTCCCCAAAATCAAGGTTAAACTTCCAAATCAAGGTCAAACTTCCAAATATGACCGACTGCCACATAGTCAACAAGGATCTTTGAACATTTTTAACTGTCCTTTTAGGTTCCAAGACCCACAGATGCGCAAAGAATAAGCAAATTTGTTGTTTTTACTTTCATCGCATTATGGAAGCATTTAGAGTTCTGGCAAATGGAATGTTAATTTGAAACTTATTTTTTTAAAAGCGTTTCTATGAACTCATTCCCGAGCGTTTCCATGATTGATTCCTTTCAATAGCAGTTTTTGGACTTAATGTTGCCGGCTTAGTTACCGCCTGACATATGTATGTATGTACTTGACATATGTATGTAGGTCCTGTGGGCCCGGGATTTACTCCTTTAAAAAAATGAGTTTTGCTGTTCTAATTTTCCAAGTACTGGAGATAAGTTCGTTGTAGTTTGTTTCAAAGTGTCCATAGATAGAAAAGATTTAGCTTTTTCAGACCTATTCTCTCGGATAGTTAAAGGCGCTTTGGTAATCTGTTGACAAGCGCAGTTGCTCTGAAAAAGAAATTCTTAGCGGCTTCCGTCTGATTCTCTGTCGGCTAGACATCAATGCTATAATTGTGTTTTCATGCTCCGCTTCGCCTGTGTTAGTATTTGCAGAATTAGACAGAAAAATAAAGCAGAATTCGGTATAATGAGATTATACGGTCTGAGATCTAGACTTTACGAGACCTTCCTTTTGTTTTGACTACTAGTGAAGATAGTTCATATTTCAAGGATATTCTTTCTGGATATGTTTTCTTGTTTGTTGTTTTGATTTAAGGGCAATAATTTTTATTTGTATGACATAGCTAAAAATATATGTAAATGGAACTCGTCTTTGCTTCAGATTGCAATTTGCTCATCTTCGCTCACTGCGGATAGACAATACCCATTCAAATGGTCAAGGGAGCCTCGTTAATATTAAGTTCTCTCCTCAGAAATGACGGCGAAAAAGAAGCGCAAAAAACTAAACTGTTCGTACCTCGGGGTTCCCAGAGATCACGGGGTAATTCCACTAGAGCTGAGTGCTCAATGTATTCCGCCTCTCTGGGCGGCCCTGCTCAGTATTGGGTTTGACGCAGGCTCGGTTCAGGACGACGGGGACCCGGGCGGCGAAGTATTAACTATATCGTCGACAGTGAAAACGGCAACAACCAACTATGATGAAAACGAAGATTGCGGCTTCTATGTGAATGAAGAACAGATTGGAAATTTGGACAAGGACTTCCTTCGATTTGTCAAGAAGTTATTCGGCAGCATTGAAAACGTCGAGGTAAAAAGTTAATGCTGAAGAAATCATAGGGACTATAACATAATGATTAAGTATCAGTGAACGTTGTGATGATACGCGAAGACTCAAGAAAGAAGTAACGCAACTAGGGAAATGAAAAAGGGAAAAATGATAGAAAATTTTAAACAATAAATTGGTAATTATTACGTCAGTTTTGCTCTGTTGTTCTATTTTACCTGATTCTTTTTTGCTGAAACGCTCAAAAGTTCACATAAAACTCTAAAAACGAACAGCTCATTTTTGAAGCTACAATTAAAAATTCTTGCATTTCTGTATATTTTTGCAAACTGCACAAGAAAAAGTGTTACGAGAAAATCTTTAAGTACTTGTTATATTCCAGATCAAAGTCGTACGAATTTTGTTCCTCGGAAGTAAGGCGCTCAATTTAGATTTCAAGTTTTGATGTTTCCGTATAGTCAGGCAAAAATGTACATAAAACGTTTTGTTTTCACGCAGGGAATGGCTAACATCAATTACCACAAGCTTTCAAAGAAAAATTAATTGAGTTTTTAAAATTTTCGGTATTTTTGTTATTTCAGTATAAAGGTCGCATTGATTTTTTTCCTCGTTTTTTCAAGAAAAAATTCGGAAAGTTTGATGTTTCACGTATTGAAGTTTGATACAATAATAATTTTGTTCCGCTGGCGATTAGCAAGCGTTATCAAAATAGAATATAGACTTTTTTCGGGTAACAACTAGTTTAACATAATCACTTAAATCATTTGATAGCTTGCTTTTTTAAGAGTAATGAACGTAGTAAAGACTCTTTTATAGGTCTTGCTGATTTTTTTTCCAGGAAAAAGTCTTCATATATTGATGCCTTTAAGTTTATATGCACTTTTGAAATGAATTGAAATTCATCTGCTGAAAGTGACCTAAATAGGACTCCTCAAATACCAATGTGGAAATGGCGCAAAAAAACGAACGATTTCTAGTTTCGAAAGTGGAATTTAATTTTTAGATTTCCAGCGGAATGAAAACTTTACCTGTTGATCCAGTTTTCTCAAGTTGGGTTAATCAAAAAAGCGCCAATCATAAATCGTTCTAGAAATTCAAAGAGCTTAAAGGGCATCCTTTTCTTCGAAATTCGACAATTTTTCATTTTTCAACTCCTGATTTTTCACCCTTGCGATAAGCAATGGTATTCCAATCGGCTACTAGACTTTTCTTTGCCGAAAATATTTTCGTTCACAGGACTCATCTGGACTCCTGGTTTTACCTTGGTTTATAATGATTTCAAATTTCTTAGTGTCTCCTGCAAACTTAGCCTGGAGCTAACGAATACCCCTGAATTTGACTAGGACTTGTTTTTTGTTTCAAATGGTAGATATTCCGGTTCAAAAAAATTTCGGCCTATTATTTGTCTGCTTATGTTTTTTCGTCTTAGTTACCACATCTTAGAATCATTTATTTTTGGTGCAAACAAATTTCACTCTAGTTGCTTTAGTTGTCTTAGCATTTCAAAAGTCCGGCCGTTACGAAATTTGTTTTTCACATTTGATGTAATTTTACTAGATCGATATGTGAAAAAATTTTTCTTCGACTTTTGTCTTTTTTATTGACTTAATAAGTTTCGGTTCAATTTATATCAACGTAGTGGGCTCCTATTGCGTCGTTTTTGGGGATCGAAAAAAGTTTTGTGTGTGCGTGTGTTCTGATTTTTTTTGGATTTTTTTCGTTAGGAAATGTTTCTGCTCAGATATTTTCGGCTTTGTTGCCGCTTGGTTATTAGAAGTCCAAATTCAATCAAACATCTGGTGCATCTGGAGTAGAGATAAACCAACAGCTTGAGACCGCAAAGGGTTGCGGCTCGAATCCGGTCGGGACCTGTTTTGCAAACTAGAGTTTTTGTGCTTTTTCGAGCTATCGTCCGTCTGATTATTTTTGTCGGCTTAGTTCCTGTAGCCTGTTTTTTTGAAGGTTCAGCTTTCTTCCAAAACAGTTCAACCCCCATGCTTAAGAAGACAAAACCCGGGAGTTCGATTCCAGTCGAGACCTGTTTTTTTTTGCAAAAAGATTTTTTTGGCTAATTTAGATTATTGTCGGTCTGCTTATTTTCGTCGGCGTAGTTCTGCAGAAATGATGTCTTGAAAATTTGTTTTTTTTTTGAAGTTTTTTGTTCCATTTTTTTCCGTTTGATTTTAACCATAGTCATTCATATTTGTATCGCAAAGATTTCGTCAAATTCTAAAAGTTTGAGCTGATAGATATTTTCTTTTGAAACTCGAAAGTTGAAATTTGTTCGAAAAGTCGATCGTTTAGTTTTGTCCCATTGTTCATTGAAACTTTTATTGAAATTGCTATTTTTATATAGATATTTAATTTGTGATTTCAGAAATCTGGGGAAAATTTGAAGTTTCTGTCATTTGTGTCGCGAGTTGGATCCATTGCACAAGAACGAGAGATCAAGTGGAACGTCATACGGTGGAACGAGGCTTCTTTATATGTTCAAATAAACTCGGCTGCTTTTCCCGAGGGTAGCCGAGACGCGTTTGTTCAGCTGCTGGAATACGCAGAGGAGGAACTGGAGTGCGAAAACGTGGTGGTATGCATACCAAGCGAGCAAGATCATCGGGATGTTATAATGAAGACGTTCATGTTCCTGGGATTCTCTCCAATGCGACCTGGTCACCCGTTGATACCTTCTGTTGACAAAGTGGAAGGAGCCGACAAATATATGTATATGGGTTATATTATTGGTTGAAACGTGCGGAGTTTCTGAGAAAAGTCTTGAATTACCGGAGCCTTTTTTCTATAAGCCTCATTAACTGGAACCAATGCAACTAAGAGAGCTCTTATTTGGTATAGATGAAAGTCTCCGGTACTTCAAGTCAATATGGTTTAAGTCTGGCAGTTTTAAAATATACTACTTATCATAATTTTTTAATATAAAACTGCTCGAGATTCCATTTTCTCAAAATATTTCGTTTCACACACTGTAGCTAACCGCAGGTCAACACATTTGATGCTATTATGTAAAAATAAGTGTGGATATTATTACTGGTATATTTTGTGAGCATTCAGTTCCCCATTTTTCGCGATCATCATATGCTTACACGATTGATATAATTGAATATTATTCAAGATTTTTAAATAGACCTGTTGCCGTTTTTTGCTGTCGACTTTATAACTGATACTTTCCAAAACTTTTGAGCACTGCTATGGTTAAATCACGATCAGATTTAGTGCTCATTAGTTTATTTACAAACGCTCGACCCTTGGTCGTAATCTTCCCCACCCTACAATAAACTCAGTACTGAAACAGGCGTAGTTTAGATTAGTTGGAATCGTTCATTTATAGCTTAAACTGATGCTACTAACATGATGTTTTATGTAATCAATTACGACTGAAACTCAACTTCATTCACTCTATTAATTCAGACTTCTTAAACTAATCGTTTTCTGGGTTGAATTAAGGTTATTAAGTATTGAGATATGTAGATAAATTTCGCGTAAGAGGAATCTCCAACTACCAAATTCATGCGTTCGAGTATGATGTGCTGCTGAGGTAATCTTCATATATAAATCTAGTTTTTTGACTTATTGGAAACATTTTTTGTTAGATAATTGTTTTTGAAGGTTGTTTTCTTCATTTTTATTCTTTTCATTTGCTTTTAATCATAATTATCAACCTTGCATAAGCAAGGATATTGCAATCGGGCACTAGACTTTCCCGTAAATAACTTTGTTCATACGACTCTCCTTGCCTCTTTCATCTCTTTGTCCTCATTGCAAATCCTACTCCTCCGTGTTGAAAATATTAAGGTTAATAGATTTTGGCCTATTTAATATCGGTCTAGTGGCCTCATAGTGCACCGCTTGATGAGCAAAAATTTTTCTGTGGGCTTATGTGTTGCGCGGGAGTGGGGATTTCAATTTTTTGTTAGTTTCAATTTTTTATTTTTTTTTTCGACTTGAAGGCTTTCTGCTCAGATATTTCTGACTTTGTGACTACATGGTAAGTTTTGTTCCGATACTAATTCCGCATTCCATTGTCTGGGTAAGTTTGTTTTTCAAAACTATCTTCATACATGTTGTTAGATCTAGTTGAATGTATGATTACAGAATTTCTATGTTTTTATTTTTTGGCTGATCAATAAATTTAATCCTGAAATTTTTTCCAGTTCTTTGCGGTTTCCTGAATTTTTTTTCAAAAGTATCAACGTTCGAAGTCCTCTTTGCTATTTCTGGGAGTCATGCTATTTTAACCCTGCATTTGTTGTATCCCAAGTAATGCGAAGCTCAGCTTCGACTCTGTGAATTTTGTTCAAGTTCAAATTTGGTTTTTCGCGGTTTGACTTATGATTTATATTTCAGTTCAGTTCATTTCCTGTATTAACACTTATGATTTATATTTAAGTGCAGTTCATTTCCTATATTAACAGGAAGACAAAACTGTTTTTTTTTTCGAACAGTGTGTCATCGGATTCTAGTTTCGAAAGTGTGTTTTGATTTCTTATTTCTCAGCGGAATAGAAAACTTACCTGTTGATCCAATTTTCTCACTTTGGGTTGATTTTATCAAAAAGTGTTAATATGTTTTTGAAATTCAAAGAGCTTTGAGGCCATATTTTTTTCGAATGTTGAAGTTTTATTCAAAAACGTCTCTAACATTTTTTCTATTTCCTTGCGTTCATTGACTCTTTTCTAACAGTGTGTTTGCTATGTTTCAAATTGGGCAACAATTTTTTTTAAGAATTGTAATTAAATTTTTTTTGTACAACCATGCTCTAAATGTACCCGAGGCTGTAAGCAGTTGCGTTTAGCAAGAACTATGATTCTTCTAGCATATTTTGTGCACCGTACTGGCCCAATTGTATTATTTTTCTGATGTTTATTTTCGGTTTCATCCGCTCTCGCTCCAACAGTTATCTGCTTAGTTTCTGGCGGTTTTCACAGTGAATGTTCAGAAAACTTTTTTTCTCGCGAATTTTACTAAACTAAACAGCGCGTGGTTCATTTTTTCTCGGTGTTAATGAGTGGAGTGATTTACTCCTTTTTTAGGCCTTGTGAACTTTTTTTCATGAAACTGTTCACGCTCAAACTTAGTTTTTCGCATTTAAGTCCGTGATTTCTTAGTCCGTGAACTATTCAAGTTCATTTGCTGAAAGGAGGACAAATAAAACTCCCTGGAATAATAATGCTAATGGCGAGATAAAACGTAAATTAGTTGAGTTTTGAAAGTTGGCGTTTTCAGAATTCACTCGGAAGAAAAAGTAAACCAACTTACCCAGTTTTATCTAAATAGGTTAGTATTAGCCGTAAAGTTTCTCGGAATTCAAAGAGCTCTAAGGTGACGACTTTTTCCTGCGAAATTCAAAACTTGAAAGTTTTTCAAAACAGTTATTCGTTTTTTGAGTTTCTTGATCTAATTGACACTGTTGGAACTCTTGGCTCTTTTTTAAAGTCTAGCTTAAACGCCCAAAAAAGGATTTCAAGCAATTGTAAATAGCAAAACTATTGATTTAGTGATGTTTTTGCGTTTGGCTAAGATTGCAGGGGCCACTTGTTTAAACTCTATTATATATGCAGTGATGCGAATGTTTTAAGGCTCAGCATCATTGAAAGGCTCGCTAACTATGTTCTGCCAATTTAGAACTTTCGTTATATTCGAATGTAGGAAAGTAAAAACTGTTCGGAAATGCTTCGAGTGTTTCTAATAAATGCCTGTTGAGGGATCTGTAATTCTGTTAAGGGATCTGGAAGGAAAGCAATGTTTTTTTTTGTTTGGTTTTTTTTGTTTTGTCCATTATTTCGTGATAATTTCTTTGTGAACTGTTTTACCCGAAAAACATCGCAAACTATTGTTGTTCTCTTCTCTTTAATTTGTTTATTCGAGGTCTTATCAATTAGGTGAGTATCTCAGTGTTGCTATTTCGCGGGATATTTCTCCGCCTATTTATTCGTGATAGAAGAGATTACCTGTTGCAGCCTCTCTGTTATTATGATTATTATTATGATAGATTTACTGTAAAACTCAAGGTTATCCCCCATGTCTTTTATCCGCCCCGTTCAAATTTTTTCTCATTGTTAAAATTTTTGAAAAAATTCTTTGTCCAGTTCATTAGTTTACCAATCAGTTTTAATTCCCAGATATCAATCCAATGAGGCAGTTGATTTGCTAATTTTTGTACTCCAGAAATTGTGTTCAGCATTTGCCATACTTGGACAGTCAAAACTCGGTTTTCTCTGGAGCCATAGTCATGATTGTGATTTGTAGGTTCTGTTGATGGGTTTCTTACAGTTGAGTCCTTTAAAACTTCTTCGTGCGTCTGCTGTCAATCAGGGTTGCAATGTTTAAAACATGTCTTGTTTAAAACACGTTTAAAATAGTGTTTAAAACACTGAATATTTTAGTGTTTAAAACAACTTCCCCTGATTGGCAGATTTTCTTGTGTGCTTTGACTAACTGAACTGTTTTCGTGGAAAAATCTCCTCGATAGATTTCGTGAATGAGGTATCGAACGAAGCGAATGGCACGAAAGTGCCGAGAAACGGTAAAGATATTTTGATTTGGAGTCTTGATTTGCTGCGTTTTTTTGTAACCGACTTTTTCGGAGTCGATTTTACTGAAAATGAAATGAAAAGAGAACTCACTCAACTTGGAACTCACACAGACTGTATATAATTCTTGTTTTTGCTTAAAACATGTTTAAAACAATTTAAACGTTTTTTTTACTCGAAACGTGTTTTTTGCAACCCTGCTGTCCATGCCACCACATACAATAATCCAGCTGCAGTTATTTGTTACTAAGTTAATTTAAGCAAATTTGCACGTCTTTAAAATTATATTTTCGAGAGACACCATTCTAGTAGATCCTGAAGTTGTTTCCTTGCTCTAAAAGATCGTTCTGATCTCTGCTGGTGTTCTACATAATTTGAAATATACAGAACACTAACTTCCGAATTGCTCCTAAACCCTAATTTCGACCTGCAAATTTTGACAAGGCAGTCTCAGTATTAATTTCGGCAGCCAAAAGTAGCAGTGAAAGATGAAGCAATTTAAGAAGACTGAGTTATCTGGTTTTTTAGTACCAGTTATTTATTAATGAACTCTCTTTTGGAATTTTTAAAGATTCATTTTAATCTCACTCTTCCTAGCATTAATGGATTCTTAGTCTGTACTAGGAGCCGATTGTTCTACATAGCCAGTGTTTTTAATAATTTTTAACAGAAAAAAAAATTCGTAAAATGGGGTAGAAATGGAATCCCTCGTCTTGGTACTTCATTTGCTACAATTGTACTCAGAGCTCTCTGTCTGTCTGTCTGTCTGTCTGTCTGTCTGTCTGTCTGTCTGTCTGTCTGTCTGTCTGTCTGTCTGTCTGTCTGTCTGTCTGTCTGTCTCTCTCTCTCTCTCTCTCTTGTGTTGTAGCTCTGCATGGACATTTCTAGTAGCAACAAGAATTTATTTCCGCTTGCAAAGAGCAAGCGATATCAAATCGGAATGTTGACTTTTTTCAACATATCAACTAAAAATCTCACCTGCTAGCTCCAGCTTGAATTAATTCAAATTTCTCGGCTTTTCCGCCCACTTGGCCTAGAGGTAACGAGTACCCTGGGGAGGCAAAGGTCCTGGCCTCGAATCCGGCTAGGACCTGTTTTTTCTAACTGAAAATATTCCGTTTCAAAAAAAATTGTCGGCATATCGTTTGTCTGGTTAAGTATTGTCGTGGATTTTGCTGCATCGCTTGTTTTGTTCTGCTGTAAGCAATTTTCATTGTGTAGGCAATTTTTTTATGTACTTCCTTAATTTGTAAATTTGCAGCCTTACTTAGTATAATTTTTTTTCTCGCTCAAAAGCTTTTTTCGGAGTAAATGTTTTTTTTCTGAGGTTTTATTGGATTTTCTTAACCAATTTTTACTCGTTTGAAGTGAAACATAATGCCTTTTCCTGGAAGCTTAAAAGGATAAAAATCTTGGTAGTATACTACAATTTTGGTAGTAAACTACAATTTTGGTAGTAATTTTGAAAGTTTTTCATGACAATGATTTTGTTTTCGTCTTAAAGAGATTTGACCCAAGTTTTGTCGGTTTAGTTACTGATCGATACATGTTTATGAATTTTTAGCTTACGCCGCTAGTGATTTTACTGCAGGTCTTTTCTTCAAATTGGAAGTCATTTGTCAAAATTGGCTTTATTTTCATCTTGTGTTCGCTTGCTATTAAAATATACCGATGTAGAAAAGTTCCAAAAATTCGTTTTTTTCCGGTTGAACAGTTCTGTGAAGTTATAATAAGTTTTCTCACCTCTTCCTCAAATTTTATCTGTATTCTTTTTGCCTTTTCCTCAAATTTGATCTGTATCCTAGAGGTGAACGTAAAATCAAATGCCAATGAAACCTGAAAGTTATAGATTTTCATAAGTCAAATGATTTGATTGTTCGGACTATTTGAAA